CACACACACACACACACACACACACACACACACACACGCACACACACACACACCTAATGCGGGAAAAAAAAACAAAAAAAAACGACGTTTTACAATGACGTATTCGAATAGAGCGCCCGGGCGTTCTATTCGAATATAAGGCCCGGGCGTTATATTCGAAGGGGCGTTATATTCGGGAAAAAAAGAGTAAAAACTAAATTCGGACTTTTTTAGGATAATTTGAATATAACGCCCGGGCGTTATTTTCGGGTGAAGACGGTAGTATTGCTACCTGCAATCTTCTACTCTATTCGCTGCTAGGCAGTGCTAGCTTCATTGCCTCAATTAAACACACCACATCATCGTCTAGAATTTATCCCCCCCCCGGAACAAAACTCACTCGGTCTAAAGATTGAACGCACTTATCTGTTACATAACTTACATCTCTAACTTTGTTAAAGCCCATCGACACCTAAAGCCCATTTAATAACAATAGCAGGAATCCATTCATTAACACAATGCACAGCAGACACAAAGAGTTGTGAAGATGAGGGAATAAGATATATGTACAGAGGACCCTGAAGAAAGAGAGGTGGTGGGAAAAACCACCAGAGCAGAGTCAAAGGGCGTGATTGAGAGAAGGGAAGGAAACACTAAGAAGATTCGTTGAACATGTCAGGAATCTTTGTTTTAGCATTTTAAAAGCCAAGGCAAACCCCAGGAGTGTGATGGGATTAGTGAGGATGGGTGTTTGCCCGTTATGAGGATGGCGACCAAGTACGTTGACGAGTTTGTTATGAAGCATTCTTCGCTGAAACCAGAAAGAACAAAGAACTTGAAAGAAGGGCTTTAACGAGACAAACCGCACCTGCCGAGCACGAACTCCGAGATGGGAAAGATGAGGCAGTTCATGGCAAAGCACAACCCCCACCACGTGAGCACCTGCAGCCTTGACCTGCCACTCACAAGCAGTCACAGAAAAACACAAACCACATCAGCCAGAAAAGACCTTACCTGAATCACTGACCTGCGTTTCAGAAAAAGGAAATGCACTACATCAGGCAGCGGCTGTTATCGACTGTGGCTGCAGCAAACTCATGACAAGCTTGACACACAAAACCTATCACAAAACCCGTCACTAGACACCCATAATTTGCAGGCCATCTAAACCACATGGTCCACCCACCACAAAACCTAGATATGGCTATTAATTCCTCTGCAAAAGTCAACACCCTGATCTCATAGACTGCCCTCATGGGCATCTCCGTCAGGTTCAGCCCTGCTCGCCAGCCAGAAAGGAACCCTTGTCTGGTTATTGCGTAGGGGCTTAAACCACAAATACCTCCAAGCCTCTTTTCGCCAACGAGGATTCCCCCTGCGCGCCAAGCTTTTCAGCACGGCATTTTTTTAACTTTTTTTTTTTTGGCTGGTGCCGCCAGCCATCGAGGTCCAGTAGCCCCGAGCCTGCGAAGAACCTGGAATTATTTTTTTTTTGGCTGGTGCCGCCAGCCATTGAGGTCCGGTAGCCCCGAGCCTGCAAAGAACCTGATCTGCTACATTTTTCATTCTCGATGTTGCTTGGGAAAGGTAGAGCTGGTCTAGCATCAGGCACAAATGAGGTTCGATGAACTAGGCTCAGGGGCAATAGGACTTCACAGCGAGTTACTGACAGAAATATATGCGAAACAATTATAGCAGAGATGTGAGCAAGAGAGGGAGCAGTAGAGAGGACATCATTTTAAAGACAGACAGTACCAAAAACTTGGAAAAACTCAGAGAGGCAAAAAATACACCGGATCGTTTCAAAGTCTGTCGTAACTGGATTGTTGCTCCACACAATAGAATGGTGTCATACAGTCATAGCCATAAACCTTGTTTCTTTTCGCTTTCTTGAAGTCTTGAGCGATGGTATTGGCCGCCTCGTCGTTACCTCATTTGGAAGTTGGAAAACGAGAGGAATCTAAGTGCAGAAGGAACTCAGGAAGAAACGTAACAATACCCAGCCCATCTGGCAGAGCAGTACACAAGTAACTGTCAATAACAGATCACGAGTTCAATTCCTAGTCCACTCAGATATACATATACATATATGGATAGCAGAGATGATAAGGTCAGGTGCTACTACCACCTTTAAACTTTAAAGCAAAAAACTGGCAAAAAAGGGGGGGAAAAGTTCAAAAAACAGCACTGGATTTACGAACAGCAACAACCGTTTCAGAAAATAACGAACAGCGTAGATCACAACAACAGCAGAGTCATTCCATTCCAAAGATGACAGACTCCAGATATCCAGAACCAAATTAGCAAATGCATACCTCTTCATCACCATTGGCGAACCTCGACAGCAGAATAACAGGACCCATACTTGGAGACGGCATAGACTCTGGGGTCATTTGATCAACCTGTGAGCATAAATAGAGGGAAATTTTGAAAAAGCAGGACACAATGCCAGCATGTCAGCCCACCATAAGCCCTCATTCCACCCTTTCAACCGGATCCACACAACTCCGCACACTCCTCATCCCCATTCGTGTCCCTGGCCCCTGGCCAACCTACCACTGCCACCTCAATGGTAGCAAGACAGACCGACGGAACACATGCCTTCTTTCTCAGTTGTCACCAAATGATTCAGGTAACTTCAACAAATCTCAGAAACACCTCACTGGTCATAGAGTCACAATCTCCACACATTTACTTTCCATTTCTCCGAAATTTTCTGGTGATGGCATGGCGCGCCGCTTCAAGCTCCCCCCCGACTCCGAAGAATCTACGTCTAGACCGCAATAACCTCATTTCGATTGGTTAATCTCACTTATGCTATTTTGCATTAAGCTGAGTTAGGTTTTTTTGGTGTTCTTGTAGAAACACAAACATACTCCCTGCTTTTGAGGACATTGAGAACTCCGACAATAAAATTCACGCATGCCATTATACCGCACATTTACTTAAGAACTCTAAGCCTCAAGAGCTTAACAGATCAGAAACTTGGCTTCACAAACGACGTCTCCACCTAGATGAACCCATCCATTATAGTGGGGCCAAGCCAACTTGGAAAAGAAAAGAAAAGAAAAGAAAAAATTAACAGATAAAGAGTCCTGCTACCATTTATCTCGACACAGCAGTATGACAATGAGAAAGCAAAGTGAAGTGACAAAAAAGTAAAAAGTGAATGAGCACGACTCCAGCAAAAGTACGTCACCAGCCTTGCGACACAATCATGCCAAGTATCAGCACTTTTTACTGTTTAGATGCCCACAGACATTGGACACATCAACGCCAACAACAAGCTGTGTGCTATCTTTCCAACCTTTGTTCTCGTTTCCAGGCAAGCCCAGAAGCGATCTCACAGCCACAACCTGCGCCGCCATGGTCGGCATTGAAAGTTCCATTTTATTTTACGTGCGATATTTTCTTCAATTTCATTCTAACATGGGTTTTAGGCTTTTAGCACATCACTGCATGAATCCAGCGAGGACCCTGAACGCCTGCAACTCAATCTGAAACCAACGGAATGTGAGACCCTTCCACAGCAGTCTGACAGCTTTTCCATCAACTATGAATTGGACCCTGTGCAGGCAGACTGGTACATCCAAAACACAGCACCCTAGTTAACCAGAGAAAGGCTCGGATGCATTATGGTTTAACCATGTTATCACTGCACATTACATGATTTCACTTCTAGTCTGACAGTAGTTTCTTCAGGGGGGTTAGTGTAAAAGATAAAGCTAACGACTCTTTTGCGTGACTACGGGAACCTACCTCCACAAGCGTGCCAACAGCACTCCCTGGCATCAATACATCCCACCCATCACCATTTGTCGCGAGACGCACTGACTTCAATGAGAGGGAGCACAGTTTTGACAGCTGGAAGACCACACTGCAAGACCCAAAAGACCGAAAAGTTGATAAAACAAACAAGGCAGGCAATGTCAGAGGCTGATTGAATGGCCCCATGGTCAGATTGCTCTGTGGTAAACATCTTCAATGCAGGACATGGTCAAATTGCTACACACACACACACACACACACACACACACACACACACACACACACACACACCACACAGATGAGGGTGTTCAGCAGACAGGCAGCCCACTGGCTTGCAATAAACAGGTGAGAGAGAGAGTGAGGAGGAAAGGAG